CATAAGAGTAAAGGCTTACGTTTCATCTCAATATGGCCTGAGCAGACAAAGGATAACTACCTATTGATATTTGGTGCCGTCGTCATTTGTACTAATTTGTCTAAACAAAAGCGCTGGTGTGCGTTTTATGTAAGTCTGCATTAAGGTTGTCGTTTTTTTTTTCACTGTCAGGCTACAGAAACGAGAGAGAATCGTGACATATGGAAGTTGTCCCTGTCCCTGTCCCTGTCAGCACTGGTTTACATGAAATGCGAATCGTGACATATGGAAGTTGTCCCTGGGAGGGACGGTTCAAGGATGGAATCTCAGCACTGGTTTACATGAAATGTGTTCTCATTATTGAGTCCAATTTTGTTTGGTGAATAAATTCTATATTCTATTAAAACACATTCTGCTTCCTGTACAGCAGGTTGTGAGGGCGGGGCGTGAATGTTGCCTCTTTCTCTCCCGCTCTCTCCAGTGATGAGGTTTTTACACGACTAGTCTTATTTGTATATATATTTTTTTGGTCTTACAGGATATTCTCCCTCTTAAAAAAAAAAATCAGCATATGAAGGTAATAACCACCCTCCGTTCCGCCACAGATTGTGAGGCCACCGTCTCCATGGAAAGGTCATGGGTTTAACAAATGAATTTATCTTCCCTTTCATATGTTGAAAATAAACAGGCTACACTCAGAGCCACTTCTTTTCCCCAGCAGTTTACGAGGTATGAGAGGCTGCCGGCTATATTCACACTGAGCCACACGCACATCCTGGTTTGATTCAACCTCTGGAACCTTCACTGCAGCACAGAACAGATTCACGATCACCTTACCCACCTCTAATATTATAGCCTTCCTCACATTTCTATCACTGTGAGAGGAAATGAAAAAGGCCATCATCATTTCCAGACACTATAGGCAATATAGAAATATTGCTGAAAGACCATTGTATCATTTGAAAGCAGGGAGTTTGTTTTGGCTCTGGACTCTAGGCAGTGAAACGAAGCAGATGTACGTACCTGAGGTA